TGGCTGCATATGATTTAGAAGTTCCCTGTGAATATGCTATTATTTTCTTTTCCTTTTTAATTTTTTTCTTTTCCCCAGAAGACTCATGACTACATTTTGTAATTACAGGAGTGGGTTATGAAATCTTTAACTGTTCCCTTGAAGTTTCAGAGGGAGATAGATAATCTTGAAGAAACAAAAGCAAAACACAAGGCAGAAACCCAGAACATGGTACAGTTTTACAGTGTCCCTTTCAAGATTATTCGCAACTTCTCTGGCAGTAAAGCATAGGAATTCAGACTAAGGTGCACGTCGTGGTTTAGAAGCAGCTGCAAGTAGTAGCTGGGGTGGGAGGAGTGTTTCTGGTCACATTTACAATCATTCCTTTGGCGGTTCGTTCTGCTCCTTGGCAGAACCCCTGAGCAGGCAGACAGTCTCCTACCACCCTCCAGTGGTTTGCAGAGCACAGCGCAAGTGACATGTCCAGAAAGTTTATTCAGAAAATAAAAACGTGCCTGGGGATATTCTAAGCTTTCTGCTGGGGACAGAGATTATTGCACTGTGGATTTGTTTGGTGTCTTGTTAGATGTTACAGGGTGTTTTAGCACACCTGTTCTGTGGATCATAATGCTGATATTCAGTGATTGCTTGCATGTATAGGGCATTAAACCATCTGCATCTGTGAAGATTTCCAGTCCGTGTTGGTAATGCTGACAGGATTAAGGTATCTGGGGGTGGTGACAATTGCATCTACAACAGTGAAGGAGTGCTTTGTAGAGGGCTGGGCAGAACCTGTAGTTCTTCTATCAATTTAGTGACTCAGTAATTTAAAATGCAAGTCATTATAAATGTCCTCTGACTAAGTCTTCCATTTCTTTCTCTCCTTACAGTCTCTAGAGCACTCTATGAGTATTAACGTTTAAGTTTCCAAGAAAAATTGCATCTGTGTACTTACGTTTGTGTTATTTTTCTGTTCTCAGTGGCATCTGATATTCTGTCCATGGCATGGCACAGTGTCATCAACCTGAACTTTTCTAGATCACTGATGAAGATAATAAAACATGATGCAATTTATTTTTATCTTCCCATCATGAATGTACAAAGCCATGAGAACTGCAGAAACTTCAAAACACAGCAAGAGTGAATTTATCAGTGGTTAAGGAGGCATTAACACGCTGTGTGACATGGCAGGTTGCACCTGCCAAACTTCCCCACCTAACTTTAGATTGTATCAAGTCTTGGACTATAAAGGCCAAGTAAAAAGGGCTGATGCTTTTTACTTGCTCAATATATTGTTGTCTCATAGCCTTTTTTCAAGGAATTTTTATTGCACATAACTGTGCTTCTATCCAAGCAAGTCTGTGCTAACACTAACAGTTAAATTTTTGATATAAGCCTATTGAAAAAATCCTAAAGTAGTGAATTCCACTTTTCTGTTCCAGGACAACATAAATGGCTAGCTCATCTACGTCACTCATTTAGTAGAGAGTAACAGTAGTCACATAGTACTCTCTGCTCAGCCAACCCAAAATACATGAGTAGAACAGGAAAGCTACCACTGTGATCACCAGGAGCACAACAAAAAGTTTAATTGAATTTTCCCTTCTGAGTTCAGCCTATGTTGACTGTAGTTGAGAGAACTGGGACTGCAGCTAGGGCAGGGCAAAACAGAAGCACAGCTTTGGGACACAGAGCTGTAAAATGCTTCCAGGTACTCTGATCCCCCTACGTCTGTCTGCGTGAGATAGTCTCTCCTTGGTCTTTGTTTCTTTCTTGTATCCCAAACTGGGATTATGAGGTGCTCTGCACAGCCTTCCAGTTTGATAACCACCCATGCCTTGGTGGCCTCTCCAGGTCTCCTGCCAGCCAGCTTATTTCTGGTGTGGTAATGTGTGCGTGCATAGAATAAACAGACAGGCAGGCATGCTGTCTTGTGGGAGAAGAAGAGGGGGCAGTTAGAGGAAGCAGAGCCTTGGCTTAGTTTCTGGCTGGATTTGATCATGGGATGTTAGCCTTCTTTAGTCCATTTCTGCTAGGTTCTTCTCCTGATACAACTTTCTTGCAAATCTCAGCATAAATTTGTGAGATTGTTCCTTTATTTACCCATCCTGCCTGTTGGTCATTTGGTTTTAGCTGCTTTTTCCCACCTACAAAATGTTTATATTTAAACTAGTAGGACCAGCATTCATATTTGACTGGGCATTGATATCAACACTCTAAGGCTTTTGAGTATGTTAGAGAGTAAAATGGCTATAATGAGACTGGATGTATACATGACAATGAAAATTTTGCACAGAATCTTCTCTCCAGTAGACCAAAAAAAGTAGCATCAAAGTTGAGATGACAGAAAAAGTCTATTTAAGAACACAACTCATTCTTCTTTATGTTCAATGCTGATCTTTCACAAACCATCAACAGGTAAGTGAAGGGTTAAGGTAAAACTCTTTCTTCCATCTGGACAAAGACAACTCTTCCTTTGTAATGTAAGTCAGTTGCAAGACTTGAATTTTCACTGCAAAAAGGATCAAAGTCTCCAAGTCAAATGCTGTATAACTGTATTGATACAAGACTGTGATGATAATGCCACAGACTGTCTGGTCTGGCCACTGAATGAACTACATGAACTACAATGAATATAAAGTTTGGGGGTGTGTGTATTACTCCTAAAAAATATTTTGATTAATTCCACTGAATGAACTACATGAACTACAATGAATATAAAGTTTGGGGGTGTGTGTATTACTCCTAAAAATTATTTTGATTAATTATTTTTTTAATCTCTCTATCTCCAGACTGCCATACAAAACCCAGTAAGCTTAGTTTTCACTCCTAAGCAGATATATCAGAAACTGAAATGAGGTCTCAGCTGATAAATGAAATCTGATAGCTCTGACTCTTTGTGTATTACTCCAAAAATATTTCCATTTTTCTAAACAGTTATTTAAGCTTTGTGTTTGTGAAGCATGAACCAGCAGGTCAGGGTAGGTCATTCTGCCCCTCTGCTCTCATGAGACCCCTACCTGGAGTACTGTGTCCAGTTCTGGGGTCCCCAGCACATGAAAGATATGAACATGTTAGAGCAAGTCCAGAGGAGGGCCACAAAAAAGGATCAGAGGGATGGGGCACTTCTCTTCAGAAGAAAGGCTAAGAGAGTTGGGGTTGTTCAGCCTGGAGGAGACTCCAAGGAGACCCTACTGCAGCCTTCCAGTACCTAAATGGGACCTGTATGAGAGATGGGGCAAAATTTTAGCAGGGCGTTTTACAATAGGACAAGGGGTAATTATTTTAAATTAAAAAAAAAGGGGTAGATTTAGACTACATTTATTAAGAAATATTTTACGATGAGGGTGGTGAAACACTTGGACAGGTTGCCCAGAGAAGTTGTGGATGCCCCATGGCTGGAAACATTCAAGGCCAGGTTGGATGGGGCTCTGAGCAAACTGGTCTAATTGAAGATGTATGTGCTCTTCGCAAGGAGGTTGGACTAGATCACCTTTAAAGGTCCCTTCCAACCCAGAATATTTTATGATTCATAAAATTTTGTCAAGGGCTAGAAAATGTTCTAGAGATTGTGTTTTGAGGCAAGAGCTCTGAAACATGCAAGCTTTACTTGCCATTAAAGACTGGAATTTGTTTGTCCCAGTATGTCCTGCTCTAAAACCAGTGTCAGGAAGAAGTATTTCTGGGAGTTAGCCCTCGTGGTGACACAGCATTGACACCACTCAGCTTTTACTGCAGTTGGGCTCCTTTGAAATGTAATGTGACAGCAGAGTGTTCAAATAGCCACATTCATTCAGGTTAAAGGCTAACCATCTAGTTTAGATGCCAACTCCAACCCAAGCCACAAGGAATTTAGGGAAATTTGGCATTTCGTGGGAACAAAATAAAATTACAAAAAAGCCACAACCGGAATTTAGGGAAATTTGGCATTTCGTGGTAACAAAATAAAATTACAAAAAAACCACAAAAAAACCAACCAAAGAAAATAGTCAACAAAAATGAAACTAAGTAATACAAAACCCAAACTAGAAGAACAAATGTCAGCTCCTATCTCTGCAGTGTTGACCATCCTGTGGCTCTGAAGCAGCCAGGGGTTCTGCCCCAGCCTAGCCGTGAGCACGGCTGGGTCTGGCGTTCACAGCCGCACAGGGAGGTGGCACTCGTGTCTCATGCTTGGTCCTGGTTTCATTCCTCACAAGCTAGACACCCTCTGCGAGATTCATTGGAATTGAGGCATTTTGCTTTTAAATGCCACATTCTTTCATCTGTTTTCAAAGGCAAGCGATTTAGTAGAGAAGGGTTTTGTTTTGAAGTGCTGGGAAAAAAGGCATATCCTCACAAGGGAGAAGTTTTTTTTAAAAAAAACGCCTCAAGAGTTGCATTGTTCAAATGCAGAGATGAGCCTATTTCATCTTAAAATAGCCTTAACTTAAGCTGGGATTTAGTGCCATAATTCAGAACCATGTGCCTGGAAGATACTCCTTGTGTTCCCGACGCTATTTGACTGCTGTCGTGTACAATCATTGCCACGTAATCATCTTTGCAAGTTTATTGTATTTAATCCTCAATGTGGTTGCACTTACAGTGCTTTTATTGTATGGGAAGACTCATTACACAACTGTGTTTCTCTAATTTGAAGCAACTGAGAAAAGCTGAGAATAGTTTAAGTATTACAAACTAACATTTGGGCCTTTTTTTCTTTCATCACCAGAAGTGCAAATTTTAAATAAATATTCATCTTTTTACCAATTAACATGTTATGACTGTGCTGCAATGAAATTACTTTAGATGTCATTCACAAGCAGACAGAAGCAGAACAGAAAGCTTCATTCCTGTGAATCTGTGAAAATTGGATCGTGACTTTTAGTTACAATGAACATGCTCCTGTCAAAATAAAAGGATTTGTTAATTTTATTACTTGCTTGGGGTTTTGGTGGAAAGATCCAGAATGGCCTAACCAGTTTACTGTAAAATTTTACACATCTGATTTTTTTAATTACCTTTTTTAATTTTTATTTCAGTGGGAGAAACTACAGATGACAACAAGCGAGAGGAGGAAAATAGTGTGTTCAGTCACATTCCATGTAATTGCAATTACCTGTGTTGTTTGGTCATTATATGTTTTAATTGATAGAACTGCTGAAGAAATTAAACAAGGCAACGATAATGGTAAGGATCTTTTACCTTCTTCTTGTTGATAATGCAGTGGCTGATTTTGAAAAGCAGCAATGTAACCAGTCATTCTGTTCTTAAATAACAGCTCACTAACACATGGCTACATCAAATGCTTTAATGCAGAAGTGCTGAATGCATCAGTGTTAAAAGCTTATGTTATGCCCCTGCAGAGAGAACTCTACTTAGTGTAATCATTACAGCAGCTTAACTAGCCCGATGGTTCTTCCTAGGTTAATCTCCCATTATCTAGGTATTTCTAAAGCTCAGGCAAAAAGATGAGTCAAGTTCAAACAGCTCAGTGCAAGTTCAGGTCATAAAACTAGCAATTTATTTATATTACTTACTTGATCCTTGATATCCTGTAAACCACAACAGAGTCCTTTCATCAACAAGCTTCCTAATACAAACTTCTAACACATATTCCAGTTGTGTTAGTCCTTCTTGTGAAACTTAAGTAGCATGGAAAGACATTCCTCTGTCCTTTCAAATAGATTTCGCTGTGACTGTCCATGTTCAGGTTGTGTTCATTGTGAGAAGGGTTAAGCACTGGAACAGAGAGGTTGTGCAGTCTCCATTTGTGGGGATACTGAAAACCCAACCACACATGTGTAACAAAATGCATGTTTGTTGTAAACAGGTTTCTTTTCAGGCCATGCTTAGCACAGGTGGAAACTATATTCTAAATTGAACTACTGTTTTCCATTTCAAATCTATTTGGTCTTAAATTTAGTCTTGAATATGATCATTGATGATAAAAAAGCTTTTGAGTTTTGATCTGAATTGACTTTAGGCACAGTAGAGGAACAAAGGTCTCTATCTTTGTGCTATATTTTGAAGTTAACATGGAAAACAAAACAGGTGGAGCTTTGTGCCTTGCTAGTTAGATAAATATTTGATGATACTCCTGATGCCTACCCTTCTTGCCTATGAGAGGAAAATACGCAACAAGCCTTAGTAAGTCATGGGCGAATATATACTACAAAGTCTTGGTTTGCATTCTTTCTAAATGGGTAACCCTGTTTTTTATCTAAAAAAAAAAAAAAATTACAAATGGCCTGGAGGACATGACTAGGAGTGGCTTTGAACTAGTATTTACAACTACATTACTCTACTCATGACAAGGGGGAAGCTATTTCTGTGGATTAAATTTACATAACAAGACATCTAACAGAAATTTTTTTCTACACAATGGAAAAGAATCACATTAATTATTCGTGGTAGTCTCAAAAAGTATTTATGATTTGTATAGAATTCAGTGTCTGCCAAATGTAATAGCTGATTCTTGGACAAAAAGAGGCCTTGGAGCTACTCACAACATGCAAAACTAAGTGTGAAGAGAACTCTTTTGCCCCAAAATGTGCTTGTTGTGAGAGTACTTTTACAAAAGGAAACTTGTATTTGGAGGGATTGGCAAGAGATATATATGTAGTTTGCTTTCTCCTCCATTATCTCTGTTTAAATGGGAACTGCCTGGAAAAAAAAGACAGTGAACACTGAAAAAAAATTATTAACATATTTTGAAGAGGAGAAAAACTGAAAGCCCTGAATAATACTAGTACTGTTTGTTGATGTTTTGTAAGTTTAAAAATCCTGTTTTAAACAGGTATCTCAAATGATGTAAAGGGTTGGGGGGGTTTTATCCTTAAGAGTACATGATGCAAACCTCTTAATTGCTAAACCTCACAATGGTCTAGAAAGGACAATTTAAAATATATTTTAAATAGTATAGAGTTTATATGGCACCAGTGGTAGGGAAACAAGTTTCATATAACTTTTTTTCTGCTTGAAGAAAGAGGTAGGTCTAGGCTCAGCTAATAAAGCTCAAGTCTGAAAATATGGCAATCCTGAAATAAACTGAAAAATACAAAATTTTCTGTCCCATACCAGTTAAAAAATGATGCTTCCTGTGTTACCATGGAAGAAGCAGAAGCAGCACATCTTTACTGTTAAGAGGTGAAGAAACTCTGAAGAAAAGCTGGGCCCTTTATTCACCCTCTTTCTTCTGAGCTCAGCACTCCAGCTGTGACTTGTTGGTTCTAAGTGTCCTTACCCACTCATGGGGCTTACTTAGATGCAAACTGTACCATTTTCATAATTAAGAGCAAGAAAAAAACAGTTATTAAGGGGGGGGAGGTACAGGACAGGAGGAAACAAACAGAAATACCCACATCACTGGATATGACACTAAGTATTCTTTGTGACTTGCTTTTGTCCCAGGAACTGAGGTTTGAAGAAAGATACGACAACCATTTTATGAACAAATGTAACAAATATAAAAGTATTTGTCCCTGGCAAGTTCAACTAACCAGACTAATGGTTGTTAAGGAGATACAATGTGATTTACGTGGTCTTTCTACGCTTTCATTCTGCTGCAAATTTTTTTAAAAACATTGTCTAGCACCATCACTTAATACATTGTTCCCATTTCTAAGTAGGATGACAGGGAAAGCTACAGCTACTTTAAACAATTCATATGCTTTTGCAGTAAATGCTATTCTCTTGGTATGTTTATGTAATTAACAGCCCAGCTCTTATGTGCTTAACAGTAAAGGGGATACTTAGATTCCAAGGTTCACAAAGCTGGCTAAATGTAAAGACTTGGTTTTGAAGAGTCCATGTTACCAGGTCTAGGAGCCAAGCCTGGCTCCTCACTGATGCTCTTCTGCTGAGTCCCAAAGGAATGCACATTTCCCACCTGTGGCAAAACTTTTTTCCCTGTGTAGAACTTGCATAAACCTCACAAACATCACCAAATTGCTGCAAAGTATCACCATTAGTAGAATATGGCATGGGAAGGCTGATAGCTGTTCCTTTAAATTAGGCTACTGAATGGCTGAAAAAAGCAGATGCAGTAGTATGAATTAATGAGGAGAAGGCCATTGATTATTTATTCTGTTAAAATCTTAAGACCATATTAGGCCAAAGCAAATCAGTTTAACATTATTCATAACATAATCAAGTTCAAATGCTCTGATCTCCAGCTCTTCTGTGTTAGCAGCCATGTATTGTTCTGTAAATATCAATATGATTGATCAATGCAATGAGAAAAGTAAGATCAGATACACCAAAACCTGTCATTTTTTTAGTACATAGGAATGTAAGTTCTTTTTTACATAGGTGTGTCCAGAAGGGTTGCACAGACACCAGGAAAGAGGTCAATGAAGGCAGGTGTTGCAGGAGATAAGAACCCTTCCCACTAGCTGTTTTTTTACAATGCCCTGGCTTCTGGATGAAGCTAGGACCAGGTAACAGTATTGTAAATGTTGGTGTTCCAGGTACCCTGAACAGCATGACTGAAAGAAAAACAGTTGTTGTTGTTGTTGATGTGCATACCATTTCTAGGTATCCAGTCATCTTCATTTTGGTACTTGTATTTTTTGCTTAAGCAAGCAATTGAATATGGGGATAGTATTGAAGAACGGTAAATGTTTTGGTTTTGACTGTATTGAGCATTATCCTTGCTTTGTGAGAGTGGCCTTGCATTTCTTATTTGACCAAATTGTGTTAAAGTCTGTTAAAAGTATGAGACTGGCCTATGGAATAGGACAGCACTGCTGTTTTCTACTTGAGCCACAAGTGCCCCAATTGCATGTACATACCTGGGGACTCCTAGCAAGTGGTTTCTTTTCCATAAATTTTACTGACACTCATTGCTTGATATTCAATGTATAACAGTGGTAATAAATATAAACTTTTTATTTCAAAGGTGTCCTTGAATGGCCATTTTGGACAAAACTCGTTGTGGTGGCCATTGGATTCACGGGGGGCCTGGTCTTCATGTACGTCCAGTGTAAGGTTTACGTTCAGCTGTGGCGCAGGTTGAAAGCCTACAACAGAGTGATCTTTGTTCAGAACTGCCCAGACACCATCAAAAAACTGGAGGAGAAAAACTCTTCGTGCACTCAGACCTCGGATGTCAAGGACGCGGTGGTGGTGCCAGTAGCACAGACAGGTACAAACTCTGAGCCAGCAGCTGAAGAAATGACATCTGAGGTCATGCCAGTTTGACAGAGACAGCATTGTTTCTTCCTTGCAGAGTAAGGCGTAGTCTTTTCTACGCTACAAATGCTACAAGAAAGTAGAAATGACTGTGCATTTTTTCAGTTAAACCCAACAACTCCCCCCCCCAATATAAAAACCAAAACCCTACAAGGAAAATGGATCCAGCAAAGCAACTTGTTACTGTATGGAATGTGACCGTTCGTGAAGTAGTTTTGCAGCTAGTCAGCGAGTGTAGTGAAAGTATAGAAAGTGCAATAGAGAACAGGTTTAACAGATAATGCCAAACCAATGTGACAATACTTTTTTTTTTTTTTTTTTTTTTTTTTTTTACCTGGGATGGCTGGGAAAGTAGACCTGATATAACAATTTTGTTTACAGAAAACAAAAACCTTTCATGTGTTTACTACTAAAAGCTGTATTTGCTATTTATCTTTTTAAAGATACACTTCAAAAGGGTACAAATCCAGCTACATGCATTAACAGAATCAGAGTACAGAGAGCTGTATTGCAGCATCCACTCTCTAAGCCTCATATGGCAACACACATTCACGTGACTGTAGTGGAGCCTGAATGTTTGGGCAGCTGTGTCAACTGAGGATATTTGAACCATTTGTTTTTAACTATGCCTGAATTTTTGAAAAGTAAGCAATTCCAACCAGTATAAACTCATGTCTCCATAAGCTACAGATATTTTTTTTAAATAGAACTGTCAGCAAAGTAAGTACAGGAAGGAGAGAATATGTAGATATGTATTTAGAAGAGCATCTCAGCTGTTTATTTTATTTATAAGAGTGAATTAGACATAAATTGGATACGCAAAGTTTTGAGGGAGAATTGTAAATGAAAAAAAATGCAGTTTAATGCAGAATCACACAAAAGTAAATTGCCTGTTATCAAAGGTCTGAAAAAGGATGACACACAGGGAAGATGGAAACCATTTTTGGTTTTATTTTTTAAGATTTATGATACAGAAAGGTAGACGTAAGTGAATTTACCTACCTGTGTATCTTAAGAAAACATTAGTTTTAATCTCCTTGTTCTGAAAAGTTAGTTTTTATCTTCCTGACTAAAAAACAAATCAGTGGTTTCCTTCTGTACAGGTAAACTTGAGGTGTTAGAGATTCAACAGTTCAGTTGTTAACTTCGTGTTTTGAGCATTGTCATATAAAAATGAAGTGTGAATAGCATTAAAAGGTGCAATAGATAAATGAATGTAGATGTAATACTGTGTCCAACAGGGTGAATTATATATAGAGAACCAATTTTGGGATTCACTTTGCATACCTGTGATGTTTACCATCAGGACAAGAGCAAGGATTGACTTGGAGTATTTATGTACTGGTGTGGACAAGTCTGGGGCCTGAACATAATGTGTATTTAAAAAAAATGTTAAAAGTTCTTTTTTTGATCTTGTATTTAGGTGAAGAAGGAAAATCAAATAAAGAACCAGAGTAAAGAGGATAGGCAAGGGCAGATTCATTCAGAGAAGGGTATCCTGCCACAATTACAAGTGAACTAGAGTTCTACAGAAGCCTTGAAGTTTCTAATGGTAAATTTCCTCCTTACACAACCAAGTTTTTATAGTGAAATAACAGAATCATCCCATTCTTGCAAATATCCAGGATGCTGGGCCTAAGATGTACTAGAGTTTATATACTAGGTATTCCTTTGTGAATGCTTACTGGCTTAAGGTTCAGGGAAAACTGGAAGTAGCAGTATTAGCAAGATATATGTCTTTTATCAGATCATTATGTTCCTGTGTATTGGAATTGCTCATGTAATTTGGCTGTGACTAAGTGATTGTCATCTGGCTAGATAAATCTTGGTGCTTGAATGGGTCCTAAATACACATCAATATTTGCTGTAAGTTACTGCAGGTGAGTTGGATTAATGTTTAAGTTTTTTTCAGCAATGGCACACAGTTTTTATATCAATTAACTTCCCAATTATACAACTGCAAATTGCAATTGTAGCAGTTTCTCTCTTCTTTCAAATGTCATACAAGAGCAATCAAATCATTTAAAATTGTGGAGGAGGCTTCAGAAGGTCTTCAGAGAATGATCACAGTACTAAGGAATACCTCATAACTGCACATGTTTAAAATAGTCTGCAATGGTATGGTTTAGAAAAACGGTAAATCTACTTGCTAAAAGGTAAATTTCATGGTATCAGAAGTTAGACATTTAAAATTACTAACTGCATCTGAATGCCTGGAAGGATGTTTACAAAAGATGTGAACCATAGCAAAATTGTCTGACAAGGAACATTATGAAAGGTAATTAGGAGCCTTCTGAAGAGATTAAGTTTCTTACTAAGTGACAGTAACATGCTTCTTTAGCCAGCTTGTTCTTTCACCTGCTGTAACATGACTTCGTTGAAAGTACTTTATCCCCTATTTTGTCAGTTTTCTGGAGACTAAATCACATTGGGTTTTTTCCTTGAACAAGTACAAAATTCAACTCAAAGAAAATACCTAATGCTTCTGATAGCAAGATTATTGTACATTTTAAAAAATACCCTGAAGAGTCAGCAACAGAACAGACAATGTGCAAAATTTTATACTACCGCCTTCAACTTCAAAACACTATTTTGGCACTTAACTATATATGCAACTGAGCCTACAGTATGGAGAAAGGCTTCAGCTGAAATTCCTCCTCTTCCTTTGAAATGCTTAATGTAGACAGCAGGAAAAGGAGCAAAATGGGACACTGTCTGCTGAGACAGACAATGAGACAAGTCATCAGCTTGAAGTAGTCTTTAACCCTTTAAAGCATTACAGTATTAGCCCGTGCATCCCTTTCTCTTAGGTGCAGTGGATATTCTAGAGCTTTCAGGGATTTCAGGCAGGATTGGAATTTGTTTCCAAAGCAGGGTGCAACCTCTTGGATTCAGGTCTTTATTAATAAGGAAGGTGCATGAATACAGACACTAGACAGATGCTTATTGACCAATGTTTTTTTCATTCCCACAAAAAGTACAATTTTCTATATTAATTCAATAACCATGGGATTCTGAAGGTTATGAGAGACAGTTAAGACTTTTTAAGGAAGATGCCATCTCAAATAAAGAACCATATCAAACTGTCTATGTAGCCACAGTGCATCTCAGGCAAATACACTGACAGGGGGATGTGGCCTGGCTAAACCCACAAGGGCAGAACCTTGCCCTGAGCTGCCATTACCAAGAAGCACTTCATCTGCATTCTTGTTTAAGCAAAGTTTTAATGAAGGTAGGTAAAAGTAATCTGGTGTCAGGTCAGATCTGAAAGCTTAAACAAGATACTCCTAACCTGTGAACATGCACATTTCCTGTTTTAAGTTATAAGCATTAAAAAGTTTATTTCAAACTGGCTTAAACATGCCACATTTGACTATAATTATTAGCATTACAAAGATTCTCAACTAGTCCAACTGTGCCATTCACTGCTCTGAAGGCAGTGTTTATTTTTGTTGTGTAGAAAAAAGTAGTAATTCCCCATCACCAGAACAAAGTTTTATAATTTCTAATTATTCAGTGAAACTCACTCTATGACGAAAATATTTTACTGTGTATAATATTTGGAACTACAAGTTTGTGTTGTTTAACTCCCTCTCTTTTCAAAAGAAAAAGTGTACGTTTTTGTGGGTGAATGTGTACTGAAAGACAGAAGGTAAGGGAAACAAAAGTAATGTATCTGCTTATCGTTGTGAAAAAAATGTATTTGTATTAAACAAATGACCCAAATTACTGTAGTACTCTACATTTGTCACTTTGTTATATAGAACATCACATGCTCAACATGAATTAGCAAGGCCACACTCTTGCAGGAAAAGTGAGCAATATACCCAGCTGCATACTGATAAAACTTCTAGCTGTCAGTAGCTAGTTTTGGGTACTGCACCTTGGCAGAATGCTCAGGAGAACACATCACAGTGCAAAACCACTTGAAAAGAACTATAGTTGCTTAATTTGCAGAGAGGAAGACTGTGAACAGGCTTCAACTCTATAAAGAATTCCCAGAAAGTAACTGGTTCTACATCCCTAGCAAAATTTAGTACTGGGTTTCAACTCCAGGAGGGTAAGAAGAAAGCTTCCTAAGGAAAGAAGTGTTTTGGAATGAACTGCTTGTTATAGAGATTGTGGAATGTCCAACACTGGAAAGCTGGACCAGTTAAATACTTTAAAGCTAATCCTACCTTAGACTGTAGGAATGGATCCTGTTTCCTTTTTTATTATTTTAATTTTTACCTGGTGATATTTGCTCCTTTTCCAAAAACCATAAAGGTTTTGTGGTTTTTTTAATGAAAAGAAATACTACATGTTTGCATTATAAAAGAACTTGTCTGCTTTGTCAGGTGTAAAACCAAAGAAAAGTATCCTACCCTGACAAATACACAGCATTCCAACCAAGGTACAAATTTAGTTTTCTACAGAGGGTTGTATCCACCTGCCCCATATCTCTCTCCTAGACTGTCAGCTGGGGACAGAGTGGGGCAAGTTTTGAAACATCACAGTTCTAGCTGGAGTAAGTCATCATATGGCTGAAGACTTATGAGAAAAAGTGTTTAAAACACAGAAGTGTTCTAACAAATTACATTCCCTATATCCAAGGCCAACTTCTTGTTCAGTTTGTTAAAGCTGCCCTAACTAGCTCACTGTACCCAGTGAGTATCACAGTGAGAATCACAGATGGATTCATAAATCCCTACAAGATATAATACAGAAGCATAATTTTAAGAAATTCCAGTAATAAAGACATATTCATTTCCATTTATTAGCACAGGGAAAAGTGGAGCCAAATTTGATTTCATAATTAAGAGAACAGAGGTATAGAACACTATACCTTTTTGCTTTGCACACAAGAGTTTGAATCACTTGACGAAGGGACCGTGAGGACACAAAACACATTTCTGTTTAGTTTGAGGTCTGTATAGGCATAAACAAGGAAACATGCTATGTGGCATTTACTGGCACCACACCACACACACACACCCCTGTCAGTAAAATATTGAAGCTGTTCTGCCTGA